AATTCAAGCTTTGCATTAGAGTCAAAGGAAAGAAGTGATGGAGGAACTTGTATGTTGTCTGCCTCTGGTTGTAGTGCAGGTGATGACAATTTTTGTTCAGTCACAGTATCTCGGGTCAGAATTGAGCAATTTTCAGGGAAATGAGCTTCTTCACGTTCTAGAGAACGATTAATATCTGCACAAGAATCAATTTCTGCAGAAACATTAATATCTACAGAAACATTAGGATCTGAAGAAACAAGTGGATCTGAGGAAGCTAAAATAGGATCTGAATATACTGCAAGATCACTGCTGTCAGTTCTCATAGGTGAAGACAGGCTTTCTTTAGAGTCCATAGATACCTCTGGTTGAGGACGAAAACCTAGACAAAAAAGAAAACAGAAGTAAGCTAAGCATTTATACAACCCTAAAAATTACTTTGTGAATCAATGAAATACAACTTACAGGAAATGTTTGTCAAGTGAGTATCTGCTTGACGAGTAGATTGTAGAACATGCTGACTGTGAGAAATCAATTGAGCGCCCTCTTCTGGGCATACTACATCCTCTGGTAGTGATCGGGAGCCTAAACAAAAACCAATAAATAAATTAGATAATTTTGAAAGATTATCACACAAAGATTCTTTAACTGATGTCGATTATTAACATGCAAATACCTAATAGCTGGTGTTGATTATCACAGATAGATGGTGTGGTGTACACTGAGCAAAGCGGAACTTCGGTCTGCCTTAAAGTTTGAGGGTCTATGCGACTCTGAGTGGTCTTTGGACAATTTGATACAGAGCCAGCAAGAATTTCCTCAAATTGTTGAGAGATGCAACCTGCCAAATGGCAAAAAAATAGTGATATCTGGATAACTAAACACAGGCATATGAAACTTGAAAAAAACAAACAAACAAACCAATGCTTTGAAGAGGCGTCTGTTCAGCATGGTGATGAGAAGACTGTGGATCCCCAGACAAAATCGAAACCCTTCTGTCCGTACTATCATCGCCATCCTGAGGATTTAAATTATCTTCTTCAGGCCCAAGATACCTGGAGCATAACACCAATGATAATAATTCATTCATCTTCTGTATAAATAGTAGCACAAGTAAGACTTACCTTTTCCGTTTCGGCGGATCAGACATGGCACTACAAACGACTTGTTAAATGAGTCCCATTCACTATGCTAAGGAAAACTCCGTGTGTTCACTCAAAATATTTAACAGCATTAGAACCGAACAAACTTTGCCAAATGTACGCCATCGAACAAGGTAAAGAAAATCTGGCAACACTGAATGTTTTTCAAATTGTTGCCAACCTTTGAAAGCGACTAACTTTTAGTTTTTTGACTAGTCTAGGGTCAAATTTTGAGCATCGTTCAACTAAATATAATTTTCACAGTGAGAATGATCTGTTTAACAATTATTTGTTGGTATCTGAACACAAAAGCATTGTATTAGCATTTGGACTAAAGTGTTGACGTTGGCAATAATTTTGGTCTTTTTTGGTAGGTTCGCGCCGCGACTGTTTGACGGTTAATCGTGGCGAGCAAGTTCGTTTCGACAGGTGAGGTGAGGACAGGGTCGTGAGGTCATTCCATATCGTCGATTTGTTCAAGTAAAACTATAATTCAAAATGTCAAAAAGAAAGGCTGGTGAGTCAACTAAAGTGCCGGCCAAACAACGGCAAAAGTACGCCTTAGTATATTATGTGGCTGATAAGACGACAGGCGTCGTATTTGCAACTGAAATCAAGTCCAAGCCCAAACTCGGGTCAAAGGTTCGAGTCCCTGACCCATTCGACTGGAAAGGTGAAAAGAGTACATCAAAATATGATGCTCTACTCATCAAATACGGCTGTATGTATTTTTTCATATAATTCAGCTTTCAAAATGTAAATTGGTTTATTTTTTCCATCATTTAGTTATTGCATTGCTTTTTTCAGATGACCCAGAGTTTCTTTACACAAACATTTTTATAAACAAAGCAAATGGAATTGAAATAAAATCAATTGATAATTTAGAAAACATTGAGCTTGCGACAAGGAAGAAAGAAGAGGGATTAGAATTGCTCGCAAAGAATACTGAAATAGCCCTATCAAACGATCGAGTTCGGAGTCGTACTCCCCTGTTTCCCCCTGTGAGTACTAATGCTTAAGCTGAATGGAATCTTAATTCTTATCTTGTGGGTGTATACATTTCAATCAATTCCGTTATTAACCAACAGGACAAAGGAACTGTTGCCATCTCAGAAATTCCAACGTCTACAGCCAGTGCGACAATCACTTCAAGCGACCCTCCACCTGAGAACGCCAAAGATTCTGTACCTAATGTTCGTCAAGTTCATGAAATATTGATTAGTTCTCCGGGCACCTCTCAATCACAGGATCTAGATTTTGCTGAACCTCCTCAACCTTCTGGTACAAGCAAAACTCCAACTGGGAACTCTGAAGTTCTTTCGTCAAGTTTTAATACTCAAATTCAATCAAAAATCACTGCTTTGTGCTCTAATCAATCACATGATCCAGTTTCGAATGCTGTAACTCCTCAACCTTCTGGTAGTGGTTCAACAAGGAACATTGTTGACAACACTTTCAACTATGAAGAATTTGTGAAGGTTGCCTCGGAAGGTAAATATACTTCACGGTTTTG